CTTGGGCCCATGACAACTTCAGGAGATTAGCCATGTCAACTTCCAAGAATGTGGAGCTGGGCTTTGGGTGCCTTTTCTTAGTTAGAGATTTCCTGAGAGGGCGTGATTTGGAGAAAAAAAATGGGGCTTTCCAGATCAACAGTATAAAGTATTCAGTGTTTCTAAAATCAATACCAAGGGGGATTACTCTTACGTGACAAAATCTGCCTGCTAGTAAGATGTAACCCTGTACACGAATGCATGGAGGTGCATCTTTAATACCTCATTAAACCAGCCTTGTTTTAAATCCTATCTTCTATAAAACTTGTTCTTAGAACAGGGCAGGATTTATCATATGAAAGTCCATCCTAATCCAAAATATCTTAGAGACCCGTTGTCACCTTGCTAAACCCACTCCATGTAATCACCTTTGAGTTATTTAACTAACCTAAGCCCAGGTCAGTTATAGAGATCTCATAATTAAAGACTGAGATTGTTTTAGATAATAAGATATAATAAGGTAAAACAAAAGCCAACACCTCAAAAATTGGACAGAATAAACAAATAGAAAAAAAGAGCCCAAGAGAAGGGACAAGAATGAGACTCACTAGTTTGTACACTCAGGAATCCCATGAAAACACTAATTTGGAAGTTATAATATATACACAGGGGACCTGTTGCAGACCTTTGAAGGTCCTGTGTATACTGCTGCTTCTGTCTCGGTGAGTTCATATGAGCTATGCTCATGTTGATTTAGAGGATGTCTTAGTTTGGGTTTAAATTGCTGTGAAGAGACCATGACCATGGCAACTCTTACAAAGAAAACATTTAATTGGGGAGGCTTGCTTACGGTTTCAGAGGTCCAGTCCATTAACATCATGACAGGAAGCATGGTGGAATGCAGACGTGTCACTGGAGCTGAGAGCCCTGCATCTTGCAGACAACAGGAAGTGGGGTGATTGTCACTCTGAGGGAAGCTTGAGCAAAACCTCAAAACTTGCCCCCACAGTAACAGATTTCCTATGACAAGGTCACACCTACTTCAACAAGCCACATTCTAATACTATCAAGCCCTTTGGGGGACCATTTTGTTTCAGACCACCATAGAGGGCCTTGCTTTTTTGGTGTCCTCTATCCCCTCTGGTTCTTATACTCTTTCTGCCTCTTCTTCCACAGGGTTCCTGGAGCCCTGAGGGGAGGGAGTTGATGGATAAAACCCATTTAGGGTTGAGTGTTCCAAGGTCTCTAACTCCCTGCATAATATCTAACTACAGGTCTCTGTATTTAGTCTTGTCTGTTGTTGGAGGAAGGATCTTTGATCATGTCTAAACAAAACAGAATGGCATTATGAGTCATATTATTGCTGCAACTTCTTTTTCCTCTTTAGACCAATAGTATTTGGTCTTATCCTAGGTCTCTAGGCTACCTAGCCTTAGGTTCTTGGTCACCAAAGCAGTGCCAGGTATGGGGTCCATCTTGTGGAGTGGGCCATAAGTCAAATCAGATGGTTATTCCCATAGGCTTTGTGCTATCATTGCCCTAGCATATCTTGAAAGCAGGACACCATTGTAGACGAAAGAGTTTGGGTCTGGCTTGGTGTTTACATTTCTCTTTTGGTAGCTTCAAGAGTACCTTCCTGTAACAAAGAAGCTGGAATGTAGGGTGAAGGCTCTATGTAGGCATCAGTACGACATCTCCATGTTCAGTGAGTCATGTAAGTGCTGACTTCAGTGATGGGGCCTTGCCATCAGTGTGTGGAGAGCAACCTACAGCCTGGGTTGTTTGGACGATTGCCATGGGAACCCTTTGGCCAATAGGTCAATTAGATTTTTTTATGGAAATTATTCTCATGCAAATCAGACTTGTATTTCTCTTCTTTCACAGAACAAGAACATGAGATGATCCCCGTGACTAGCAAAGGAGAAGGGACTTGTGAGCTGGTCAGCTGTGATTATCCGTTGCTGCTTAGAGTTTGGCATAGTTTTCTATATATGTTGTGATTCTTCTTCTGACTTCTCCAATCCATACCTCAAAATATTATTTACAAACTATAGCAAAATTAGGAGAGGGGAAAAACAGTAGTATCTACAATAACTGTCAAAGTGAGAATCCAGAAAGGTAGGTAGAGCATGTCACTTCCATTCCCATGCCCCACAAAAGAATCTTAATGCTTTATAATGAATCTGCCCAGCTCACATACTCTGCCTTCTGTGATAATGGAATTCAAATGGAAGCAGCAGGCACAGATGCCCTCTGTGTCTTTTATGAGGTTCTCTTTAAGAACACTCAGCAGTTTGGACAAGACTTCATGGGTTTCAACCTCTGCACCTTATAAGTTCAGCCTCCTGAGTGTTAGAAACTGGGTGCTGTTTTTTATGCTGCTGCTCAGCAGAACTTACAAAGATCAATTTCTGTTTCTTATCTTCCCCTCCATAGCTATTTGTACTATTGATCCTGCTAGGGTTTATATTCATGGAGTGTAGGCATCACAGCAAGAACTTCTGCGTACTGCGAGGAAAAAGTATAATGATAACTTCAAAGAAAAAGCAAGAAATGTGTTGTTCCATTTTAACAGATTTTAAGACAGAAAAAAGTGGATGATTGGTCTTTTTAAAAATTTTTATTATTTTTGTTTATTTTTAGGCATTTTGTTTGGTGTGTTTGTGTGTACACTCGCACACACGATGTTTGTGTGTGCTTTTCAGAAGAGAATATCAGATCTCCTGGAGCTGAAGTTACAGCCAGTTGTGAATCACCTGATGTGGGTGCTAGGAATTGAATTTGGGTCCTTTAGGGAGATAGAAAACACTCATAACTACTGAACTATCTTTCCACAGCATATTTGTTTTGAAATATGTGTACAAGTTTGTGCCTGAATGTGGGTTTATGCACATGGGTGCAGTGCCAAAAGAAGTCAGAAGAGGTCGGTTGATCCCCCAGAGCTGGATTTAAAGGTATCCTATGCTGGAAACTGAACGTTGATCCTCCAGCAGAGGCAGATGCAGTTTTACCCACTGACCATCTCTACAGCCGCTCACCTCCAAGGTTAGTGTTAACGGTTTAACAGATGTTCAGAGGTTTCCAGTTCCCAACGCACCACACCGGACGTGTATTGAACCATTTACCAACCCTTGTTTACAATTTTGTCTGTGACACCTATGCACTCATTGTGCCCACCCAAGCCACTCAAGTTTGTTGATCTCTATTCTGTGTCCATAAATCAATATAAGTAAATAAAGAACTGTTTCCTACTTGTAGAAAACCTTTGACTGGCTCCCGAACAGTCTCTAAAATGAGTCAGTCACTCACTCTTTACCAACACAATAAAATTATTGTAATGCTGCCCTTAGATTTCCTGGTTTATCTCATTTCACTGACAGATTCTTCCAAAGTGCAAAAAATAAAAGGATTTATCATGTATCTATTTGACTTTTGAACTAAGTGATATTTATGTCCACATTGGGTAATCAATTATTAGATAGTGATACATGTTTCATACTTTAATGATCAGTAATTATGAACTCTGAAATATATTTTAAAATATTAAAATAGCTCAAATTATATATAAACTTTCCAGATGTCTTAAAAATATCAGACCAATTTATAAAAATATTACAAATAATATAGGAAATGCTATTTTCTATGTACTACTAGAAAAATCCATATATTTTCATAGAACGACAGGAGAAATCCACACTCATTATCTAGGGTATTAAATTTCTAAGACCAAATTCTTTGCTTAAGAAAGCTGACCTTTGCAAATGTCAAAAAACTTAATACCTTAGAAAATGTTGTGCCACAGTTTAAATGAATGGAAGAATTTGGAAATTTGAAAGAAATGCTAAGTAGTTCCGATTTCTCTCCCCACCTCTTCTCACCATCACCACCACTAGTGGAACGCTGTGTCGTTCAGTGTGTGCTAACGTGCTTACCAGCGTGTGGACTGGCGTTCTTCAGTCAAAGTAACGGTGAGCTTCTGCGCCCTCCCACCACCACCCCTTGCTTTGCTACTAGAAGCTGTATTTTCCCTTCTAAAGCCCATCTTCTTTTTTGCAGCCCTAGTCTATGGTACTTGGATTTTCTCTTATTTACCTAAAAAGATAAGCTAAGATTGAATACAGCTGATCTTTTGGGGGACTTGCCCAATTTCAACATTCTTTCATCAAGTCTTAGAATCTTTTCTGCAACTCCTTTTATTTATATTAACCCATGCTCTTTAAAACAGAGACAGTCGGAGCTGGAGGGATGACCTGGCAATTGAGAGCACCGGCCGGTCTTCCAGAGGACCTAGATTCGAGTCCTAACACTCAGACTGCAGCGCACATTCACCTATAATTTCCGTGCCAGGGAACTGAAGGTCTCCCAAGCAAGTGGTGTACAGAAATACAACCAGACAAAATACCCATACACATAAAACTCAAATTAGTTTTAAAATTAAAATGTTAGAATTAGGTGAAAGGGCACAAGAGTATCTAAAATATTTCCCCCAGGCATAATATATATAAGAACATCTATCCCATTTTGAACTTCCACCTTAAAGAGAGGTAACGTGATATTTAATTATTTTTAATAATGTTGAACCTGAAAATGAAAAAGTAAATGTTAAAAATCTAGGGCTGAGGGCTGGGGCATTGTGATAGTGTGCAAAACAAAGCAACTGAGGATGCACAGATGCAGACCAGTGGCGTGTTGTTGTAAAAGGGAGCAGAGGGCTGCGTCCTGTAACACGGCTCATGGCTAGCTTTACCGGAAATAATTACATAGAAACTGCATTCTTTTAAACATTGCCTGGCCCATTACCTCCAGCCTCTTATTGGCTAACTCTCACATATTGATTCAACCCATTTCTAATAATCTGTATCTCACCATGAGGTGGTGGCTTACCGGGAAATAGCATGTCTGCCTCTTTCTCCCAGCATTCTGTTCTGTCTACTCCGCCTATCTAAGCTGTTGTCCTATCAAAAGCCGAGGCAGTTTCTTTATTGTCCAATGAAAGTAACACATAGACAGATGACCCGCCTCCATCAGTGGCGCATGCGCAAACTTTCTTCAACGGTTGCTGGAGGGGTTGTTAAAGGACTTCAGGACATTGCCTGACTTTTCTTGCTCTTTGGCAACCGAGCAGCCTGCAGGTCATGGCCACGGCCAGCTGTGCCAAGGTGGACCCAGGCTCCCTGCAGGTGCTTCAGGACACGGCCAATCGTCTGCGAATCCACTCGATCCGGGCCACGTGCGCCAGCAACTCGGGCCACCCCACGTCCTGCTGTAGCGCGGCAGAGATCATGGCTGTGCTCTTCTTCCACACCATGAGGTACAAACAGACAGACCCCGCGCACCCCAACAACGACCGCTTCCTCCTCTCCAAGGGCCACGCTGCACCCATCCTTTATGCAGTCTGGGTGGAGGCGGGCTGGATCTGTGAATCTGACTTGCTGAACTTGCGGAAAATCCGCTGCGACCTGGAGGGTCACCCCACCCCTCGGCTATCGTTTGTTGATGTGGCAACAGGCTCTCTTGGGCAAGGACTGGGAGCTGCCTGCGGAATGGCTTACACCGGCAAGTACTTCGACAAGGCCAGCTACCGTGTCTTCTGTCTCATGGGGGACGGTGAGGCCTCAGAAGGCTCTATCTGGGAGGCCTTGGCCTTTGCTTCCCACTACAAATTGGACAACCTCGTGGCAATCTTTGATGTGAACCGCTTGGGGCAAAGCGGCACTGCACCCCTAGGGCACTGCACGGACATCTATGAGAAGCGCTGCCAAGCATTTGGGTGGAATACTTACTCGGTGAATGGCCACGATGTCGAAGCCCTCTGCCATGCCTTTTGGAGAGCAACTCAAGTCAAGAACAAACCTACTGCCCTGATTGCCAAGACCTTCAAAGGGCGGGGTATTCCAAATATTGAGGATGCAGAAAACTGGCATGGGAAGCCCATGCCGAAAGAGAGTGCTGATGGGATTGTCAAATTAATTGAGAGTCAGATACAAACAAGCAAACGTCTCACACCAAAGCCCCCCGTTGAAGACTCACCCCTGATCAGCATCTCCAATATAGAAATGACCTCTGCACCTGCCTATAAACTGGGTGACAAGGTGGCTACCCGGGAAGCCTGTGGCTTGGCTCTGGCTAAATTGGGTCACACTCACAAGAGAGTTATTGTTCTAGACGGTGACACAAAAAACTCGACCTTTTCTGAGATCTTCAGGAAAGAACACCCTGAGCGATTCATAGAGTGCTTCATTGCGGAACAAAACATGGTAAGTGTAGCGCTAGGGTGTGCGGCGCGAGGGCGGACTGTGGCTTTTGTTAGTACCTTCGCAGCCTTCCTGACGCGAGCATTTGATCAGATCCGAATGGGAGCCATCTCTCGAGCCAACATCAACTTCATTGGTTCCCACTGCGGGGTATCTATTGGAGAAGATGGGCCTTCCCAGATGGCTCTGGAGGACCTGGCCATGTTCAGAAGCGTCCCCACCTGCACGGTTTTCTACCCAAGTGATGCAATCGCCACAGAACACGCTGTTTATCTGGCAGCCCGCACAAAGGGGATGTGCTTCATTCGGACCACCCGGCCCCAAACCGCAGTTATTTATACTTCACAAGACAGCTTTGCAGTTGGACAGGCCAAGGTGATCCGCCAGAGTGCAGAGGACAAGGTGACGGTTGTTGGAGCAGGAGTTACTCTACATGAAGGCCTGCTGGCTGCCGACAAGCTTTCTCAACAAGGTATTTTTATTCGCGTCATTGACCCATTCACTATCAAGCCTCTGGATGCTGCCACCATTATCCACAGTGCCAAAGCCACCGGAGGCCACATCATCACAGTGGAAGATCACTACCGAGAAGGTGGCATTGGGGAAGCTGTGTGTGCGGCCATCTCCAGAGAGCCTGACATAGTTGTCCGTCAGCTCGCAGTGACAGAAGTGCCGCGCAGCGGGAAGCCGAGTGAACTGCTGGATATGTTCGGAGTCAGTGCCAGGCACATTATGGCAGCCGTGAGAGATGTCGTAACGAAATGAACTAGCCCATTTCTTCAAGGCTCTTGGCTTTGGTCTTAAACACTGGTATCTTGGTGTTATATTGATGTCTGTTGTTATATATATAAAAAAAACTCTTACACTCTGCTGTTTTAAAAGCATTGCTGGCTAATACCTTCATTTCTAATAATAAGATCAACAAAAAGCCTTGAACTTTCTATTAAACTGACAAATGTCACTCTTGTTTTTTAGTTGTTAGGGTGAATTATACATTTTTCAGCTGCAAAACAGACAACAAAACCATCTGATTATAAGGTTTTTTGGTAAGACTATAATTAATGAACAGGGGTGAGGATACTGCAGCTGTAATTGGCTATCTACGTGTATAGTTAAGGGAACTTGAATTAGTTGTAGACTTCATTAGCCCAGATTCTGAAGCAGATGTGAGCACTTGCACAATGGCGTTGCCGTGTCATTGGTCTCTTTTCCTGGTGACATTGACCTTGGAACTTCCTTTGCAGTTAGTCCACTGCATGTCTCTTTGGCGGGACAGCTCTCTCAAATTCCACTTTTCTATAAAGTTCTAGTTGGTGCATTACATATTAATATATTGTTCTGTGAAAGTGTTGTGTTTTTTTGTCTTTTTGTTTTCTTGTAACCAAACTATGTTGTTAACTTGATTATTATTCATCTGCTGGAAATAATAGATGTGATAAAGAATTTTAAAACGAGCCGTTTAATGTCTGTTGTGTGTATGTGCCTGCCTTCCCCTGATTTAGCTGTGGGTATGAAGAAACTTGTCTCCAACTCATAGACAAGAAGGACAAAGAGGTTGGGGCTGGAGATAAATAAGTCAGTAGGAAATGATGAATTGAAAAGCATTCATAATTTTATCTTCATAATATCTTTGAGGTGCAAAAAAAAATCCCAGTCCAGAAAATTTAAAAACTTTGAAAGATTAAAACTCACCGACCCTGAGTTCAGACCTCAGCTGCAGCAACATTTGAAAGGCTCTCCAGTGGTACATGCTTCATTGTTGCCCTGATTAACCGTCCTGGTGGAGACCTGACCAATTGGCACTGGGCGGAGGCATTGACGGGATAAAGAAATCACTACGCTGGGTATTGGAAAGCAGAGTTCTGGTGCTTCTGAGACTGCCACCTCCCCCCTTGTCTCTTCTCCTGTAATAATCACGCTTCTTTGCATAAGATTTTAAGCTCATTTTGAAAAAAAATAGTTAATATAAGAACACTATAAATTTTAGAGAGTGTAAAGATGGAGAAGATTTGATTCACGTTTCTTCCCCTCGGAAATTTGTTTCCATGTGATCTGTAACTGTGGGCCTTCTATTAGAACCATCTGGACTCCGTAACATCAAATATCACATTTACCCACGAGTAAGTGCTAACCCACATCTCTCTCTTAGCTTTCTTACCTCGTGGAGATACAGGATTGATTCAGAAACTGTGAACTAGACAAAATGCCATAATAAGGTTGCTTGTTTAGGGATGTATACTTGTTTCTTCTAGCTTTCATTATTTTTAAATGTGGGAGGATTGTTTTCAACCAAACATACAAAAACATGCATTTACTAGTGACCATAGATCTGAAGCCTTTAAATGTCTAGTGGAATCATAGAGATTCAGGTAGTAATCACCAGGTCATGTGGGAGTGTGGGGAGCCTCTTCATCCATACTATAAAGGCTATGTTTCCACAAAACATTGACAAAGGAGGTCAATTTTATAACAAGATTGGGGGTGATATTTATCTTATGCTCAGCAGTCTGTAAGATAAAATTGTGTCCCGTTTTGCAACACAGTAACGGTTGCATAGCATTCAATCTATCCTCAAGTTCTCTGAGTCTTGGAGTCTTAGAGACTCAGCTTGATTAATGCTAAACACTCGCTGCTAAATTTGAAGATAATAGTTTTTTATTATTCTTGATTTCCTTTTCAAAAAATGGTCAAAATAAGCTCTTTGTTCTTCATAAAATTTACTTTAAATTTTTAATGGATTAATTATACTTGAGGTATGTTGTCAGAATACAGCTCAGAATGGCCTTAAGCTTGTATTGATCCCCTGGCATTACAGGAGTATGCCACTGTGCCCTGGACAGTTTCGTTAAACAAAGCAATGGGACAGTGATTCAGATTTGATATTCTTGCCTAGATGAAGGCCTTTTAGATTATCGCGAGAGCTTAGTGATAGACCAGCTACAGCTATCACATCAAAACTGCCTTGCTGTGGCTGGAGAAGAAAGTCCGGACACTAACTGAGAGGGTAAGTGGCTTCTAGTCAGCGACTGGTTTCTTGAGTTGTGGGACTCATAAAAGAACAAGAATCAAATTTTTATTTTACTTTCAGTGCATTTAAAGTGTTCTTTAAATACAAGGAATCTGTTTGGGGAAGATAGCCTTTTAAAGAAAAGGCAAAAGACCTGCTATTTCTGATGTTATGATTATCAACCAGTGCTGGGTCTGTTAGCTGAGGCCTGTAATCCCAGGTATCCCGGAAAACCCAATATTACCCCATCTTGAACTAAGAGACTGAAAGGAACTGTGAGTTTATAACAGCGAGATGGCATCTGCCTCCCATGTTTTAATTTTAGGGCCTGGACAAATCTAGCAAATAATAATGACGTGGCTTTAGGAAAGCTAATTCCTTAAAGTTCACAGAATATCCAGGAGATAATTCTCCAGGGTTTACTTATAGAGTCTGGTTTGAAGCGAGCATTGCTCTGCTGTGGCCTTTGCTGGGATGTGTAGGGAAGGTGGAGACATTGCTGTACTAGTGGATTGTTGCAGAGGCACCATTCTTCCTCTTCTGAATAGTAGCAGGGAGGGGCATTAAACTGACTCCTTTGTTTGGGGATGCCGGGATTATCCACAATGGGGTAAACAGGAATTTGCTTGCCAGGCTTGTGCCCTATCTGGCTATAGGCCTACTTCCCCGACCCTGGTGTTATATGGCTGGAATAAAACAGTTTGAGAAATACCTTAGGAGCTAGCAAAATCTATCACCACATCCTTTTGTACGATTGTAAGCTAAGACTGGTTCTGCACTTAAAAAAAAAATGGAAAAGTATTATGGTATATAAAACTTATATGGAACTTAAATTCCAGTGCTCACAATGAAAGTTTTTCTTCTGCCTTCCTTTGCTCCAAGTCTCTTCTCACATCTTTAGACCAGAAGAGGGTGGGGTTGAGGCAGAGCAGAGAAGCCCTCTTCCTTGACTAGCAGACAGTGTGTTCCCCGAGCTGGCGAGGTGGCTAAAGATGTTGATGCATCTTGGTACGTGTGGTGGCTATTCTTAGCTTTCAACTTGACTACATCTGGAATGAAACACTATTCAGAAATGGAGGGCACATCTGCGAGAAATTGTTTGCTTGGTTTGAAGGGGTTGAATTCACTCTCGTCCAGACCTTTGAGGCAGGAAGGCACAAGTCTAATTCGGATCTTGAGGAGGGAAGATACACCTTTAATCTGGGCCACACCTGCTGGGAGCCTACACAAAGGCATGGAAGAAGGAAGCTTCTGCACTTTGCCTGCTTGCTCTTACCTCGTCAGCAAGTCTGTTTCTTCACTCGCATTAGGGCCTACTTCTTTGGGATTCTAGCATCTACTGAAGGCCAGCTGAGATATCCAGACTCATGGATTGAGGAACTGCTGGGTTCTTGGACTTTCCATTTGTGGCCAGTCATTGTTGGATTAGTTGGACCTTAACCTGTAAGTGATTCAAATAAATTCCGTGTGTATGTGTGTGCTTATTATGTGAGTTCTGCTAGCCTAGAGACCCCAGACAAATACAGTACTTCTTGATTCCACATGTGAAAATATTTCTGAAATTTGGAGAATCATATCATCAGAATCAAGACAATCTGTTAGACACAAGTACGACAAATGTACAAACAATTTAAGAAGGCAAATATCAGACATGCAGTGTGATTGGGTAAGCCCACAGAACCCCTGCTTTACACCGTAGCCTCTTTGGCAAATGGTGTTAAGTGCACATTTATTATTTTTTAAGATTTTATTTGTTTATTATGTATACAACATTCCTTCCATGTATGCGTGCATACCAGGAGAGGGCACCAGATCTCATTGTAGATGGCTGTGAGTCACCATGTGCTTGCTGGGAATTAAACTCAGGACCTCTGGAAGAGCAGTCAGTGCTCTTAACTTCTGAGCCCTCTCTCCAGCCCCTTAGGTGCACATTTATTCCTAGAAGTATAGGGTAGGATTTTTGACATTCAAAATATTCTCCAGTCAGTTTGGCATGGCATCTCCAAACAGGTTGTGGTATCATTAGTCATTCTTCTGCGTCTAAAGAAGACAACTTGCCGCAGTTGTGTCTGGATGACTCTGTGAAGGGACAAGACCACACAGAACTCTGAATCTGAATTGCTATTCTTCTCTGATAGACTTTGGGTTCATGAGATTCTTATGCCTTTCAAGAGAGGACAACCTGCATAAAATTTCCCATCAAGCCTCTGTCAAGAACATGCTTCCCCAAACAAAAATTACTATTGTGTGAGTCTGTGTATATGTAAATGTAACTGTATGTGACTGTGATGTGTGGATGTGCATGCATGCGTGTGTGTGTGTTTATGGGTTTGGATGAATATACATGTGGAGACCAGAGGTCGACATCAAGTGTCTTTTCAATGGCTTCTTTACTCTTTAATTCTAGAGGTAGTGTCTGAACCTGGAGCTCACTGCTGAGCTACAGAAGCTGGCGAGGAAACCCTACGGAGTCTCCAGCTTTGTGCTCTCTAGCACTGGGGTTACTGCCACGCCTGGCTTTTCACATAGATGACTTTAGGTCCCCATGCTTAGGCCACAGGAACTTTACCATTTGAGCCATCTCTTTCCCCTTCCCTCAATAATAGTGAGTAGTCGTGGTGATAGTCACAGTAGTAGTGGCAGTAGTGGTGATGCTGGCATTGAACCCTGGGCTTTGAATCTACAGGCCAAGGATTCTGATCACTCTGCTTCAACCCAAGCCTTGTGGCAAGTTGTCACTCTGTAGTTTCATGTGGTTTTGGATTCATCATGTAATCCATGATGTAATCTCATGAATTTGAGAATCATCTCAAATTCTCCCCCTTCCTCTACCTTCTGTTTTCAAGGCTAAAGGTACAGAGATAAGTTACTATCCCTGATCTTTTATCCGTGGCGTGGCAGTAAGAGAAATAAATGTACATGTGTCTCCCTTTGGAATATCCTCATGTCTGTCCTATTGTTATATTGATTCAATCACAATTACAGTCACATAGTTTCATTTGGGTGGCAGTTTCTCATGTGCCACCAATAGACTGATATTACTATTCCAGGTCATCCTTATGGTATATACTTCTTCTAAGCAGTTACTGGGTATAAAAAGAAAACTATAAAAAAATATGCTGAGTGAGCTAACCCAGACCCAGAAAAGCAAATATAATATGTTTTCACTCATGGGCGGTTTTCAGATATAAAGTAAATAAAAATCAGCCTACAATTCACAACCCCAAAGAACCTAGACATCAAAGAGGACCTAGCTTAAGAGAGACATACATGGATCTCAATGGGAAAGAGAAAAAAACGAGATCTCCTGAGAAAATTGGGAGTGTGGGGGTCACAGGAGAGGGTAGAAGGGGAGGGAAGGAAGGGAGTGAAATGGAGAAAAATGTATATCACAAAAAAGCAATAAAAAAGAAAC